GGCGTGGACACTGGATGTGTGCTCAACGAAGACTTTTCTCCCACCCCATCCTCGGGGCATCGGGGCTCGGGTGGTTCGGGCAGACCTCCCAAGAAGTCAGCGGTCAGGAAACTGGCTGCAAAGGCGAATGCGGTTATGGAGGTGGAGCAGAACCGAGGTGATCTCAGCGCGGTGGGTGTGGATGCGAAGGCCAAGCGGTCCAAGGCGACTCCTGTGCAGCTGCATGCCCCAAGCACGAGGTCCAAGGCCAAGCTGGGAGACCTATCCTCTCTAGAGAGTGCCAAGCTCCGTACCGCAGACAAGAACCTGGAGGTCACAGGTAACCCTCCCCCCTCTTACAGAATTCTCAACGCTTTCTCAGATGCGCATCTATCGCGAATTTTGGATGATAGTGGCGTAGTTTTGGCTATCCGTAATGGCGAGATTATCTCGTTGGTGCATGCGCGTGAAGAGTGCCAAGCGATGCTTGCCGAAACCGCTGCTTGGTGTGTGCTTGCGAGCTCGTCGGAGTTGGCACCAGTAGGGGTCGTGCCACCTCTTGCCCCGATGAGGAAGCCGAAGCGAGGGCAACTTCTACGCTTCCTTCTTCGAGCCGTGCTACGGCTTGGAAGCATGTGGCCAAGGCAGTGACCTCCTGTGGGGTCTGCACGCGGAATCTGATCTAATGCGATACCTATTTTGGAATATTAGAGGTTGTGGCCACAAGGGACGTCGGACACAACTTAGGGAATACATGGCCAAGGAACGAATCGATGTAGTCGCGCTCCAGGAAACGATCAAAGTCGATTTTTATTTGCGTGACTTGTTGGCTTTTGATCCCCTTAATCGTTTTGATTGGCACTGATTACCCTCATCAGGTCACTCGGGTGGTATCCTGATGGGCTGCAACTGAGACATTTGTGGGGTTCTTTCGTGGGAGCAAGGCACGTTTTTTGTCGCTGCTATGATTAGATATAGTGTCTCAGGGCTGATTTGGGTGGTGGTTTGTGTATATGGTCATGTCGATCACGCACGTTCTGCCACATTCATGGACGAAGTAACGGCCTTGGTTGGGGCCAAGCGCACGGCAAACCTGCCTCTGGTCGTGGGTGGCGACTTTAATTTGATCCGCTCGGGTGCGAATAAAAACAACGACCGGATTGACTGGACAAGGGTGTCCATGTTCAATAACGCTATCACGGCGGCACCGCTGCATGAAGCGGCTCGAACGGGGGCCATGTTCACTTGGACTAACAAACAGCTGGCCCCAGTTCGTAGCATTCTGGATCGGGTGTTTTTGACCCCAGAGTGGGAGGTCCTCTTTCCTCTATGTACCTTGGTGGCAGAAACCCATATTGGATCAGACCATGTCCCGCTTATTTTCTCTTCAGGGGAAGAGAGAGCTCAGCGTAGCAAAT